TCAAATATCTCTGGAGCTTGTGTGTAATCTGGACATCTTCTGCTGGATCCTATTAAAAGAGCAGTGAGACACAAGCTGAAGATCAGGACAGGAGTTACATTAGAAATGCTGTGAGCATACGAACCTGGCGAGCAGATAAAAATTCAAATACGGAGAGCTATTCCAAAGTGCTGACACCGGGTGTCATTCAAATGCATCGCACATGATTGTACCGCAAACTAACCCTTCCTTCTCTAGAAAATGCAGGGGCAGATGGAATATACACAGCAATCATAACAGTTGCAGACAACAGACTGGAGGAAAACTTCAGTCAAGACTACTGCAATGGGAATGCAATACTCCAGCGCTGCTATAACTACGGGAAACCATAAAATCTTACCAAATAAAGACGCTGATGTACTGCTAAAAATACAAATTCACATAAATGGTCCAAAATAAATCAATATACTCTCTTCGGTGGAATGAAATTAGAGCAGGTGCACACTGCAGACACAGAATGAAAACTCATATCGAGTGACTTTTTTTTTCCTTTAAGCAATTGTGCCGCATAAACAATACAAAAAGAATCTAGATGGTTTTATTATTTCCTTGTCAGCATTTTAGGAGTATGTAGGTCATGATGGCACACTCGGAGAATACAGAAACACACTGCAGGCCTTATAAAAGAAACATCAATCTGAAAACTCATTGCATTGTAGAGGTTTCTCAACTTTCAGGGGAAAAACTTAGAAAGTCTGACCAGCAACGATTGGCCAAAGAGCGACTCCTGAATACACATCGTATGCCTCTGGAAGTCAAAGATTGCTGACCTGTATACTATTACACTGTCTGCGAGGCTCCAGCTTTTACACTCTTCAGTCGACTGATATTCCATATTTTCTTTCTCTTCACCCTTCTGAGAAAATAAAAAAAGCCACAGAGAATGTGTTTCTGACTGGCTTCACACGCTCCTACTCATCATCGCCCTTCGTCACCGATCAGACATCAGGCTTTCAGCATCACAGAGGCCGTGTCGACTGAATTATTGAGGCCATCAAGCGGCTTCATTGACAAGCTCTGCTCCCGCCCAGCTTCCCACCGGGCTGTCCAGGGGTCACAAAAGACCAGACCTGAGGCCTTTGGCAGGCTGTAGCTATCCCTTTTTGCTGCTTTGTGAACATGCAGAAGCACCAATGTGATGCAGAAATTATGTAAAACAAACAAAAGTGAACTGCAGATGGAAGAAAAGCATAAATAAAAAGAAACTATTTTGAATATTTTTGCCATTTCTCGACAACCAGTCACAGTGACCCCTGGCACCTTTAAAATGTAGAACAGTTTGTGATTTCATATATAATTCCACTTATATTCACAAAGGCTGAACTTACACACTGCTCTGGGCAATTTTCACAAACAGAGAACACGAAGAAATTCTATTTTATTCTCCCTATGACACAAGTAAGCGCATTTCTTTTTGGCTCTCCTCACCAAGCCTCAGCCTGGAACATGCAGGGAGAGGTTTTCTGTTTCAAAGTCAAGCCCACTGTCCAATCTTTCTGCCTGGTCCTGACCCAGAAAGCCCACTGGAGCCCGCTGAGCCATAAATGGTAATCTGTAGGCTACAACAGTGTGAGGTGGCGCTACATCCAGAACTGGACCAGCAGGACGGTATCCTGTGGTTGGTGACAGGTGGCTTTAATCCCAGCATGCTTTGGCCACAAAGACCCCAATCAACCCTCCCAAAAACAGAGCTGTCATGCTTGAATATCTGCTTTTCTTGATTTTAAGCAATCCAGCTGCAGAATGGCTCCCGCATCATCCCAAACAATTACCACTTTAGTTGTTGAGTCTACAAACGCCTACGCACGGCATCACCACCAACACGCCTGCACGCATGTGTGTGATAAGATGCAGGATCAGTTTATGTTATGAACAAAGCAATAAATCACGCTCGGCATTGAACAACAGCCATCAGACAGCCACAATAGCCATTGCCTTGAGAACACTCATCCGTCCTGTTCAATCAGAGCCCAATTTCTGATGTATCGAGTCGACGTGGAACATTCATCTTTATGTGAATAAAAATCCACATTTATATTCTTAGCTGTCTCAAGCTTCTCTGTAGTGAATCTATCAACATATTTATGAATTGGGTAAGAAATAAATATGTTATACACAAGCGGTTGTGCATAAAGCATATGCCATGTTTTTTATGGTGTTTTCTGCTTTCCTCGTGCAGCAATACAATGTAGTTAAGGAGCATGGTAATGCATCAAGTGCTGTCACTAAATATCCCTTCTCTAAGCACATTTCAAGAGCACACAATCCGCTCCCTTCCAAATCCAAGGGTGACTTTCAGCAATAATTTGGCAACTTGCACAAATCCCACACACCACCTTTTCCTTTCATGATGCTTTCTAAACAGGATAAACTTTGTTGCAGGTGGGCCATCACTGTGCTAAATTCAAGTAATCCTCTGACTGCTGGGCTTCCGAGCAGGAAACGACAGTCTACAGTTTGATGGGTCGGTTATGTTAAACCCGGGTATGTTAAACTCCAATCGACCCAAAGAATGCACTATGCCGTGTTATACATGCCCTTTTCCACTATTCATCATGATGCCGCTCTGCTCTTATGGGAGAGAATGGAAAGTGCATTAAGAGAAAGAAAAAGCAGGTGAAAGAGAGTACAACATACAATAGCAAGACAGGATTTATGTTAATAGTAACAGATCAGAGGGCAGCAATAATGTAAAGTAAATATGAAGTGGAAGCGCTCCGTCGAGCCTGAGGAACTGGTGGTAGTTTGTCCGGCTGCATTAACCTTCACATGTTTGCTCCGATTTGTTGAAACAGGCGACTCGGCGACGATGTTTAGCATATCAAATGTTTTAATCCCAGAGGTCATCTTGTGCCATTCTCAGCACCCGCAAGTAAAAAAAAAAAAAGTCAGCTACTGTATGTGCAGGTCTGAGCACAGACTGTTCTTCCACATCACTCAGGTGTTAGCAGGACGAGTCCTGACTGTTTTTTCTATAAAATAAAATACAAAAAAAAAAAAAAACTGCGTGAAGCCAGGATTCAAATTGGCATCATCAGACAGAATATTACATTCTCCACAGGAATAATGAATAAAGGAAATTATCTAAGAAATAAACAATGTTGTATATACAGTTCTTCTAACGTTTCTGAATTAAGTATACAATTTAAATTCAAAGCATGAATTAGAGAATAGTCCACAGAATTTTGCTGAATTCTCCTAAGAAAATGAAGTCACCTGCTTCAATTAGTTGACTGCAAGGCAGTGACGTTAAAAGCTGAGGAATTAGATTAAAGCCTCAATAAGAGGTCACAGCAGAAAATGTCTCAGTGCTCGATGCGTAGCCATCTGCCAGTCTATGGCGCTCTCCATAAATAGTGAACTCCAGCACGTTTTCTCTACAGCTGTGCTAAATGTGTTGATGGACATGGAGCAACTGGCTTCCTCATGAATCCATGTGTGTTTCTGAATGTGTCAACACAACATGTGTCATTTATCAGTATACTCTGGCAGCAGGAAAAGAGTCGTAGCTGCCTGGTTGCTGTACAGGGAGGCCAGTTCCAGTTATGATCAGTGCCTCCGTACAGGAGATGCGACTGTCGTGCCCCTGCAGGATGCCAGAAGAGACAGATTGTTGTCTCTGGGAGTTTATTGGTTCTCATAAAACACTTGCCACATCTTCCTAAACTTATTTTTTCATCCTTGGAGAAGTACATGTCATGATTTGCAGGGAGGTTGGCGTGAATGGAGGGGCAACAAACCTTTCAGCGAACATAATTCACTACACACGCCCCAAGTAGTGAAGCTCTGCATTAGTTTACGATTCCAGTCGTTGTCAGACATGGAGCATAAAACACAAAGTGGGCTCAACTGCTTTAGTTCCTCAACCACACTGGGGACAAAAAGCCATAAATCAATTTAGCTGAACAGATATACTTGTCCTCCTGGGCTATCATGTGGACTCAGATGCAAGTGTTTGGAGATTGTGTTCAGCCTGATCCATGTCAGAGTTCAATCAGATCAACGTTTTTCTCCATGGTCGGCAGTCTGAGCACCATTCAATGTTTAAAACCACAAGATAAAGGGGAGTGACCAGAAATCTTAAGTATCTTGTGCAATTTCAATAAAAATCATTAAGTTGAGAGAAAAGATCATAGTCGTTTCTTATACGGGAGACGTGGCCGAGCTTGGCTCACCGATTAGGTTCATCGCGGACCTGAGTGTCTTTGGATCTGAAGGTTTCTTGCAGAACCTGAACAGACGGCTCATGTTAGATTTCTCTCCAGATCTTAAAGCTGAAAGCCCAAACTGTGGACTGATGAGTGTAAAAGTCAAATGCCTCTTAATTGAGAGTGAACTGAGAAGTTAAGTTGAATCATGTATGAAACTGATTGATTTTTCTAACCACAATAAGTTTAGTTCTTTTTTTCTTTTTTTTTTAAATGGGTCAGCCCAGGTTTAAAAGTAAGAATAGGATGAAGGTTGATCTCATTCATCTTTATTGGTGATTTAATTATGATACAAACATCAAATGGCCATTTGTTATGTGTTTTCATTTTTTAATATTCCCACTCAATCTTTAAAATCTGAAAATTTGACGCTGCTTCTAAATCAAAGAGGCTTACAAACTGCGCGTTTTATTATTAAACTTCATATTGCAAAGCAAACCCCAAACCGAAGCTGACCGGGAAATATCTTGTTCTCATTAAAACAGGATGACTTCCGCAGCTTTAAAAAAAAAGATAAAATAAATGTAAAAATACCAAAGAACATAAGTCTCATTCATATCGATCAGCGTGGAGATGGAAAATGGGACAGGGATCCCAGCAGGTTGCGGCGCTGCCTCTTGTCAAAGGATACGGAATATTACAGAAGAGCAAATCCGGCATGTTTACAGCACAACTATATTGATATTTTTTATTTATTTATCGTTGTTTGGATTTGTAGAATAGTGTTAAATAGAACAATAAGGGAGCACCGACCTGTGAGGAGCTGCTGCGGGTCTGTCCGAGGCGCATAAACTTCCAGCGGCGCGCTTCGCTCCCAACTTGCAGGCAGCAGCGCGCACAATAAACCGCGTGTGCAATTTGGCAACGAGTTTATTCTTCTGTCTTCTGCACAAAACAAAGCACCTCTCAGTCCGGCTGCAGACGCGGAAACCGATGCGCACGTCTCGGAGCAACAGACTTGTGTCCAACGCTGTGGACGTTGTGGCGACGGAGCGCAGAGCTCGAGCGGCCAGCGCCGACAGAAACGTGTTTCTGCTCCGAAATCTTCCCAGTCCTCCCGGCGAATCAGCTCAGGCAGTAGTTCCAGCCCCCCCCGCCTCAGGATATAACACGGATATACATTTCCTGTCGCCAAGCAGCTGTGCAGGAAATTTAGAGGGGAGAAAAAAGGATAGAAAGAAAATTCCTTTCCTCACTCGGTAAGGATGCGGATGCGGATGCTCGCCACCCGCTCCGCTGCGCTTTTGTCCGATATGCACTTGTCAGCTGGGAAGCTGCGCATCCCGTCCTCAGCCTCAGCCTGTTCTCTGCCTATCAGCACCGGAACAGGCCGTAAATACTGAGGAGGGTCAACTCTGACCTCCAGCCTGTGAGCAACAAGCAAACGGTGGCACCTGTAAACAACAGGAGGAGTTTCATTAAGAGAAAACTAACAGGACGTCTCAACCCGAATATCCATTTGATGCAATAACTTCAATGAAAAAAAAACCTAAAAATCAAACAGCAGATGTGAATTAACTGTGATCAGGCCACCTGGCTGCTCTCCCTCAGCATCCTCTCCTCCTTTTGTTTAGAGAAGCTGTTTATTAAGCTTACAGTGTACCTGTAAGGACTCCCAGCTTTTTAATTGGATAAAACCTGCAGTTCCTTACCTTCAGTCAAACAAGGGCAAAGCCAGACTGATGTAAATAAATGTTATTTCTTAGCAGCAAACATGAGCAGCTAAAGGTTACCCAAGCTGTTAATTAAACTGTTAAATCAACAAGGAAGCCTGAGCCTCACTGTTCAAATTGAAATGTTGCTTCTGGGAGAAGCTCGATTCATATTGTTTCAGTCCATCCACCATCTGTAGCGCATCGACCAGCTGGTCAACGGATACAGAACAAGATATGCAATTTAACTCCGTCAATCAAAACCACCAAAAGTGAAGAACCTGAAGCCACTGCTGTCATGGACTCTGGGTGCTTTCAAATCTTTAACATAGAAAGTTGTCCTGGTCCAGTGCCTTGTTTTCTTCTGTGCTCTTTTGGAGTTTTTATTTTCAGTGTCGCCACATGCTTGCTACAATCAAACAAATATTATTTTAAAAGTATTTCAAAAACAGCTGTTACTGAACAAAAAGAATAATTAAAACAAATGAACAAAATATTAGAATTTATAACAAGTTAAATTAATTCAAGGAGAAAATAAAGGTGAAAAAAACCAAAATGAAAATAAAATAAACTTATGCCTTAAGATGCACTCAGTCATATTTAATAAATTGGAACAGTTTTGAAACATTCATTTATTTCACTATGCAAAACACATTCTATAGATTAATTACACACAGAGCGATTAAAACGGAAACAAAAAATATCCGGTAACAAACTTTGAATTGTTTTGTTGCTGAACAGACATTCAGACACATTCCACAGATTTAACAGAAAAATATCTGCCACAAATGAGGCATTATTACAAAACTTTCATGTTTTTAACATAGTTTAGATATAGTCATTGATGCTTTTATTACTTTAAACTGAATTAATATAAATAAGTCTGCCACCATCTTAATTATCATGTCTGCAGCTTGTCCAAAATCCTGCTGTGTCCTGAGCTCATCCCTCCATCCTGAGCCGCTTTGCTTCGACTCCCCAGTTATTTCTCAGTTCATTTTGAGCTTCTGTTGATCATGGGCAAGTCCCTCCATACAGCTGATTCCAGTCATTTTCATCCACCTTCAAGAGCTCCCAGATCAACGGATAAACGTCAACCTGCCCGTAGACGATGTTTCAAACTCAAAGAAGACAGAATCTTTTCAGTTGCTGGTCCACTTCTAAGGAAACACATTCCTTGATGTTAAATGGATTCTTTCCATCCCTGCCTTTCGTTCCAGGCTGAAATCTGACATTGCAAACCTTAGAAAGGATCAGACATGACACACTTTTTAGAAAATCTTGAATTGATAAAACTGTAACTGTTTATAAAAATCATTGCTTTAAACGAAAGAAAGCAAAAAAGTAATTACTTAGGTTTCTCCTTTTTTGAACCACAATGAGTATCATATTCAAGAAAGTTGCTTTTGTAATAATCATAACCAATGATAAAACAGTTATATGGATTATAAATCACGTGGCTAAATCAGCTTTTATCACTTTCACCATTCCCAGAAGTATTTTTTGCTACATTTGTAGAGATAAAATAATCATATTCAGTAACACATTGTTCAATACAGCAGATTTCTGAGTAAGGAATTAATTTGATAAAGTGTATTGTATCAAAAACTGGAATCAAAGGGTTACTTTGCCATTTTGTATAATTAGTAATAGTAGTTTTTTATTGCTTTTTTATTTATTGTTAGTTTTCCTAAAAACAGTATAAAACCCTTTGTTCAGTGAGATCTGTATTTGAATGTATTATATCAATAAAAGTATTTAATAAACTGAACTGAATTCAGATGCTTCTTCATGTCTAGATTTTTCCTCCTTGTTTCTCACAGGAGCATTTAACAGCATGAGAGGAGGCCACTCCAATGCCCTAATGGGCCTCGGTTGATGATAATGCAGACAGACTTGAAGTTCTCCTGCACTTTGTAAAGTGTGAAAATTTCATCTTGATGAGCTTCAGCTGCAGAGATAAATCCACAAGCCTCCCAGCCATTCGCTGCCCTGGCCTCACAACAAGTCGGCTCAGACAAAAACATACGGGACTCTAGCTGATGGGCTTCAAATGATAGCATTTAGCGGATACTGCACAGAAAGCAGAGTTTCAGTAATTACTAAAGCAACAGTCTGCTAATCCCACTAGAAAGGCATTTTGAGGCTGAGTCGTTTTGGTTCTGAGGGAGGCAGAAGAGAGAAAGACTAACAATACCAATGGAAGATCACAGACCTTCAAACTATGGTCTGCAGGCTCTGCAGCTCAATAGGGGGCCAACTACTGCAGCTCTGACAGGGCATTTTTCCTTTAAATCCCCTTCCTGAATTTACCCCACGTCTGGCCACATGCAGAGATGAAGTTATCACTGAGGACAGCTTTTCTCCAAGCAAAATCAGCCCTACCCTCCGATGCTTGATTCCTCTGCTACACCCGCAGCACATCAAACACTCGCCTCCATCAAATGGCATTATCTGCATAAAAGCCAACTGCCCAACAATCTATCTCCAGCACTGCCATTCAGTCTTCAGTCAAGGGCATGCAATAAAGTAAGGACATGAAAAGGACCTGAATTCTTCTGCAGCCAATAGTCTTCTATTTTTCTTTTAGTAGCAGACAAAATATTTCTTTGCTCACTAATCATTTTTGGGATCTATCGAAAGAGGCCATAAATTAGTCACTAAGCAACATATTCCCATGCATTGTTCATACAGATGTTATTTTACGTCCATTTAGTTTCCATGCTCAGTGCAGCTTCCTTCTCTCCTGTAAGAATTTCAGCAAGGCACACACACTCCATGTTGATGCAGTCAACTGTGCCCTCTATTGGAGGCCGGTCACTTCCAGCACTTGAATTCAAAGACTTGATGAAAGGAGTGTTTCAAGAATTTATACCTATAAAGTGAGTGAGACAGAGCAGGAACGATTCAATACCAAAAATGCTTTACACCAAACAAATAACCCCCAAACATGTTAAAGATTGATTACTTCCTCACAGGATGCTGTTTTATCAGTATGAACACACAGTGCTCGATTAATGCGTCCTGCAGTCCAGTGCCTCTGGTAGACTTATAGATTAAAGTCAGGCCCAGCCTCTAAAATTAAATGTCAGAACATTCTGAGAACGTAGGAGCCAGTTATTTGCTTCTCAGGTTGCTTTTGGCTCTTGGGGTGCGTGGCAGAATGCACAAAACATGAACCAAAAATTTCACCACTGAAGCCCAAGAGCATCGCATACATTAAAGAGTAAAACACTGCACCTTACTACGGCTCTGTGTGTTTTACATATGTACGGCATCAGCAGAGAAAACAGATGGGCCACACCATGGGGACAGAGAGACCTGTGGACATTACAAAAAAAGCAGCATTGACAAATTATGCATCCTCGCCGTTACTCACTCTGTGTATGCAGGAATTTTGTCCCCCAGGGGTCAGACAGCGAGCCTGATGTGTTCAGAGCTGTGCCTCGTCTTGTCCGATGTCTGTTAAAAAGCAAAATCAACAATAGATGTTCGCTCTGTATGTGTGCAGTGCATTATATTTGCACCGTAAAGGCTATTGCCTTTTGTTAGTTGGGTATTGTGCTCAGCAAACTAAACGGACGTGTATAAAGGGATTGGACAGAACTTCTCTTTTCATGTGGAAATGAATCCCTTCGAAACGGACAAAACAGCTTTCACCCTCGGTTATACAGTGAGGATTTTAGGGATGCACCTTTTTTTTGCTTCCATATCTGAGCAACAGAGGATAGAAAAATAACAATTTCATGCACAAATGCATATTTATGTCTCGCAAAATCAACATTAGACTTTTTTTACTTCAGTAAAGATGGAGTGTTGCATTTTGTCCAGATTTATGCAGAGGACACAGACAGTTAAGGCAGAATGGCGTTTAAAGGAGGACAGAGACAGATGCCTCACTGCCACGTTTCCAAATCTCAGAGGACATTTTGAAACAAGCTGGAGGTGCCTTGATTTTCTTCTCAGGTTGTTCTCTGGACCTGTCTATTGATCGGAACTGGTCAACGAAACACCACCAAGTCAGAGGAAGGAAAAACCCAAGAAAACAATTTAAGAGCAAACAACAGATGATTAAAAATCCATCAAAATCACAACTTTAGTCTTCTGTTATTTTAATAACCATTAAGTTTGTGTGCATTTCTAGTGAGGACTTCCTTACATTTAAAGCTCCTGGGCTCTTGTCTGACAAAGACTTTTATTTCTAAATAAACATAATTTACTTTTAATTTTGTTGTAAAAAAATACAAATAAAATAAGATTCACAACTCGTTAATCTTCAGTTTGACAGAAGTGGACTTTGGGTTTTTCAATTTGTGTTCCAAAATGGACTTACAGTAAAATAAAACAGCTTCTCCAGTACTGGTCAGGCTCAGCGTCATTCTGAATTTTAAAGATGGGTGAACAACCTCAAAGGAGAAGAAAC